CCCCACCCCCCCACCCGCTCCTCATAAGTTTTATTTTCCAGCCTCTTGACCAGTTTAGTCACCACCCTGCACCCCTCCCCGCAGTGTTTTGGCCCTTGACCTCAACCGCGCAAAACACATCTGGCCAAGCCTTCCCTTGGTCCCGCTGCCGTCCCACACCTCTTAGACAAAATTGTATTAATTAGAAAACCGTTGGCTGACTATAAACGCAGCCACGTGTCCTCTCGCCGCGAGCCGGCGCGGATTTCCGCCGGCCGGCTGTGCCGCTCCCAGCCCAGCCCCGTCCCACGCGTCCCTGCAGAGGTGCCCGTTCTCAGGGGAGAGTTAATTGCTGTTAATGTCTCGGCGCCGAAGCTCTGCCAATTCCAGATGTCCAGGATTTCATCTTTTTTTTTATGTTTACATTGGGTTGGGTGCTTCCCCACCACACCTGGGCTGTGGCTGGGCCTGCCCCAGCCCCCCCATCCACTGTGCAACAAGCACCAAGACCATGGATACTCTCCTAAAAGCGGTCCCCTGATTAGAGAGTGGACTGAAATTGTACTTCTTCACTTAAAAACCACCACTCGGGGATTGCTGTGTGTAAAGTGTGACCCCGTGTGAGCGTTCCACGTGACGTCGTGGATGGGACCGCGTGCCGGAGCCTCACCTTATCCGTCAGCGCGACCTGGCAGCCGGGCTGGGCCAAGAGGAGCCGGACGAGGTCGGCGTTGCCCAACCGGCAGGGCACCACCCTCCTCGTCCTGCAGGTTGACGTCGGCCCGGCAGGACAGGAGGGCTCGCACCATGGCGTCCCGCTCGTGGCTGACCCCCAGCATCAGGGCCGTCTGCCCTCCCTGCAACCGCGCGGGGAGAGGCTCAGCACCCCGTACCCGCCGCCTCCTACGCTCCTGCTCATTCACGCTGTGATCATTATTACTAATAATAATGATAATAATAATCCATCATTGCATCTCTATCAAAAAAGTGCATATTATTCTTGCATAGTGCATATAATAATTCATATTATTATGGAATATTGCATATTATTGCATATTACCATTAAACAACACTGGGGCTCTTCAGCCCCTGTTCTTCTCTCTATTACAAGAGACACTCACTCGCTTGCACCATGGCCATGTGCCAGATCTTTGCAGCAGCATGGCCAAACCACCCACCTCCCCACTGCCCCCAAAGGTGGGGCCCTGCCACCCT